ACGTCACGCATACGATGTACGGGGTGCCCGAGCTCTATCGCAGCGAAAAATTTCTGGTCGTGAATTCGATCGAATATGTGTATCCAGTCAATCCTTTCAAAAATACCTATTTAAAGTCATCTCCTTGTTTTCGCGTCATCTTCTCATTGCAGCTTTTTAATAAAAAAACAATCAAAATCGACATCGAATTTTCGCACAAATTATACGAATATCCGAAAGATAAGAAAGATCGTCGAGGAAATCAACTTGCCGAGGTATTTTAACTTTCAATGAACTATATATAGTTCGTCTACACACAAAGGATCTCATAATTATATAGAAAATTGGGTGAAATGAGTTAGTGTTCACATATATAATATAGATTATAATGTGATGAACAAAAGGTGTCACAAACACAAGGCTTAATAATGGATAGTTCTTGAGTTATAGTGTTTGAAAGGTCAGTACAAGTTTTACACCTTTGATCCACCATAGTTAAAAAACTATCCATTATGACAATGCCTATGACATCTTTTGTTCACATCACGTTGTATGTGAAAACCAACTCACCGGAATTCAGATTTTCATATAATTAGTGCAGGGTCCTTTGAATTTTAAGACAAACGCGAATCTTTTGCGACCGAAAAACAGCGAGTACGCTCGAGACACCCCGTATATATATGTAGGCCGCACACAACGCACGCCACACTTAGTCTCTCTCTTCCTCTTTCTCACCCCTGCAGGACTCCCCGTCTCTCTTTCTTCTATCTTCATACACTCGTTCTCCATCACATACTAGAAACGGGGTGTTCAGTGGGAACCGGCTTTCTGTTGTACAACGCATACACGCCGTAGTTCGCAACTGTTACGTACGTGTCTCGCGTGCAGGGTGGTACGAACGAGGGAAAGCGAGAGAGAGAGAGAGAGAGAGAAAGAGAGACGGCGAGAGGACACCCCGTGAGAAAAGGAAATTCGGAGGCGGATAGTGTCACGCGGTGGAAATCTTAGAGAAGTGTCCACCATTTTCGCTCCATTTCCTACTGATATTCTTTTCTCTTTGCAGAAATCGAACTCGGGGCTTAATTACTGCGGCGCGTGATAAGATAAAAAGCCGTTTTAGAATTGTTCAAGAATTAAGATCTCCGAGATCGGCAGGTTATTCAGGTGAAAAGATCGGTAGAAGACATCGATAATGGATAAGGCAGTAAATTGTTCAGGTCAACACTCCTCTGGAAACGAAACGCTCTACATCGATTTACGTTGTTTTGACACACATACCTTCATAATAGATTAAAATCAACGACTACGATTAGCGCTAAATATGGGAACCTGGATCGAAAGCGGCAAAAATAACTGTCACCTGCAATATTAACGCGAAATATTGAGAGCGGACCCGCATAATTCACATCGACATTAGACAAACATAAAGTATTATTCGAGACGCTTCAAGAGGTTTTATATACGACGAAGGCGCCATTAAAATTCCCGCAAATGATTCTTACAACGGGTTGCAGACAGCAGCATCTCGCGTCTAAAATAAGAAATCGGCACGATGAATTAGTTTCTCAAATATCGATCGTGTCAAAACAGGCACCAAGATCGCGAGTAAACGAGCGCGACGAGAATGAAAAAAAAAATGACACAGTCTCTCATTTATTTTCCCGCATTTTCTCGGATCCCTGGTGGTTCTAGAGTCCTAGAAAACCAGACATGCGACAATTAAGTTATTTCGTCGCCGCCATGTTAGTTTCTTATGGATACCCAATATGAGTACTGATTAGTTGCCTAAATCACGTGATCACAGCGCCATGTTAGTTCCTTAGGTGTTTTCCACTCACACAATACTCAGTCTAAAGTTACGTGAGTATTTTATACTCAGATAATGACATCACTACTTGCTTATATTGCGGTGACAAAGTTACCGCATAACAATATAAGTTTATAACCTCACTTTTAATGTGAGTTAACAAAACTTAGTGAAACACACGATCTCAAACTCGGGTAGATTGTAAGTAAAAACTCAGTTGAATCTCACTTGTCAGAGTGAAAAGGAGTGAAAAGGTATTCAACTAAGTTATGACATCACAAACGAAAATTATCTGAGTTTTGATGTAAATGGAAAGCAACTAATAGCTAATTAGATCATATTCTTTAACAATCAGGTCATATGTCACATCTCAGACTTTCTAGGCATCTAGGTGGTTCTCGTTAATTCCGTACTTCTCTATCTCCGCATTTCCTCGCGAAAGACTCCCTTTGCAGGACGATTCGCAATCGAATTTTCACGCAAAAAGAATCGAACCGAAAAAAAGACTCGATGAATGATAACGTCTCGTTTCACTTTCGCTCCTCGAGTCTGTGTGGCTCCTCTTCTTGTGTTCTCCTCGTCCCCCGCCTATACAACTTTGCAAACAGTCTTCCTTCCTCGTCGTCGTCATCGTCGTCCGAAGATGATCGTCGACAGGACGCCAGCACAGAAGATGCCAGCTGGAAGTCTCGAAAGTAGGGAGAAGGAGAGGGCTGCGAGAACACAGCATCTCTCGATTCAATCTCCGTCCGAGAACTCCCGCTCGTGCGCGAAAATGTAAATGTCTCGATCTAACCAAACGGATAGACAAACGCACCACGAAGGACTCCGCAAAGTCCTTTATCGTTTCCTCGTCTCCGATCGAGGATGCGCTCGTGAAAGAAAGACCGCGCGCCTTGCAGGATGCGAGGATCGTTCCCCGTTCGCGCCGCAGCATTTCAATCCTGAATCGCAAAATGAGTCGATCATTGCAAAAAGGATGTGTGTCAATTTTCCCCTCACGAACTAGTGGAACAATAATTTATTAAGGAAATAAGAATTTTGAGAAAAATACGAGGTAATCTCTTTTGTCTGGATAAAAACAATTCAAAACGCGTGTTAAATTGAAGGGTTTTTCACAAAAATAAAAAATCAAGTCCAAAAAGTTGAATTTTTAGGAAACAAAAAACTTGGAATCCTTAAACCGTTCTGTTTATAAATATGATAATTTTTCTTCGGACATAGATATAGTTTTAGGCTTTAATTAACATTTTGACGATCCCTTAAAAAAATTATTAAAAATTCATAACATTAATATTGATAAATATGAAGAATTTATTATTTTTAAAGTATAAAGCAATAATTTTTTTTCACTTCTTATTTACAAAATTTTACAAACACTCTTAACAAAAACGTCCATTGCAATTGTTAAACTTTTGTATTTCCCGTTTTCTATTTAATTGCTCCTGATGTGACGAGACTGATAGAGTGGCGCCATAACCTAGATTTTTAAAAAATAGATTTATTTGGTTTTTGTTAGTCCCTAGAAAACCAGAGATGCTTCATTGAATCGGTTTAAGTTACTTCACCGCCGCCATACTAGTTTCTTATTACAATAGCCAATCAGACTCTTTAACAGATTCTTCTACGTTGCATTTCTGATTTTCTGGAGTTCTAGTTTTTGTGGGAAACCCTTTAATCACATTTTGTCGTCAAGGACGTTCAAACTTTTCCGATAAATCCTGTAAAATGACGTATCTGTCGTAACTAAAAATTGCAAGAATCTTTTCATCTTTTTGGCACGCTCCTCCATTCTGTAATGGACGCTCTTTTTGCAAAAAGTCGCGCGAGCGCACGCGGGGAACTCCTCTCGCACCCTGTATATTTCGCTGCGATTGAACGCTGGATTTAGTTGGTTTTCCCCTGTTTTTTCGTTTTCTGTTTTGCCAGGGACAACAACCTACGACCTCGTATCACGTCCCCGTATCCCATGTCCCACTATTCCCCAACAAAATATATTTTTTTGAGACACTTAAACGCTTGGAATTTGTAGAAATCGACGTGGCAGTATCTTTGACGCAATCAAATTTTTCACTATTTCGGTTATTTTTCCATCTAGCGCGAATTTAAAAGAGCGTTTTTTAATAGAAATATGAGACAACTGTTGTGTTTTTGAAGTGGTAACGATAATAACGAAGTTACAAAAAATTTTTATTGACAGAGGGAAAGAATTAAAATTCTGATGTCTCAAATTTCTGTGTCACTTGATATATTCCTAACAATCCTAACTTAGCCTTCGACGTGTCAAGGGTGGATGATTGATCGGGTCGGCAAAGATACCGCTACCGTTACTTACATTTTAGTTACTTTTACCATAAGTTACGTGAGCCTTAAGTCAGTGTGTGACGCCCCGTTTTTATGTTGTATGATTTCTTTCTTGAAGTGTGCTTTTCCGTTTTGTGATCTTGTCGTTTCTGTTCCGTTGAGCAAAGAAGAGAGGCAGAAGCTAGCGCACAATGTGGGTTCAATCTTAACGAAATAGAGCGCTCGGAAACGATATCGTCACCATCATGAATCTTTTTTTTTTTAATTCAATCATTATCGTCGTGCTCTCCGTTCGCGCTGCCTTCGCACCGTTCCTTTCCTGGCTTGGCTCGCATAAAACAACGTACCGCCGTTTCTACAGTTCGCGCATTCGGAGATGACCGGGTTCGAGAATTCTCCGGGTTTTTTGGATTTTTGGATAACTAGATTTTCGGTTACTTTAGATTCCCGGATTCCCTCGGGTCTTCCAAATCCTCGGATTTACGAATCATCGGATTTTAGGTTTCTCAGAAATTCGTATTCTCGAGTATTTGGATTCACGAGGCATTAAATTCTCCAAGTCGCCGGGATTCGGAATTTTTAGATTCACTTTGAGATGCTTTGTTTCAATTGAATCGAATCTTGTTTTATTTACATCCACGGGTGCCCTTGCCATTTGGCCCTTTCGCATCTCTCCCGAGCTTTTAAAGGTCCACAGAGGAACTTGTCCCTTTGACAATTTAATACGTAAACGATCGCCCGGGTTAATCCGAGGTTTGCGAGCGCGCGAGCGAGGGAAGGAACGGGCGGGCACGGAATCAGGAGGGACAAACAGAGAAAGAAATTATAAACGGGCTAATGGTTCGACGATACCAAATAAGACTGATGAGAAGTGTAAACGCAAGGTGTGTGTCTATCGGTTTGGTTTTAGCCCTGAGCAACTGCTCTGAGAGCGGAGGCGAGCCGGACGCCATGCTGGACATGCACCACCCAGGAACCGGGATCGACTCGCACCATCCGCAGTTTCACAACTCCTATGGTAATATGAAATTCATTATAATAGTAATTAATCCTACCCTCGGACTTCACCGGCCCTCCACGCGGACCCGAGATATACATCGCGATCCGCGATTCTCGCTCGCGTTCGGCGCTTCTCAAGTCCTCGCGCGTTTCTCGTGTCACGCACGCTGAGAGGAAAGTGTTTGAGATTTGTGATTATAATTGCACGGTAAAATAATTATGGATAGAAGCTCCATTTTATAGTTATTAATGTAATAATATGTAATGATTATTTAGTTATTACTATAATATTACGATAATTATTATTATTAATTATTGTACAACCAAGAAAATTTATCTGTGGAAAAATACCATCGTTAATGGGTTCCCAAAGCTTCTTAAAGTTTATATCAAAAACTAAGGATGGCCATTTTGAATGTTAATTATTATTTTTGATATTAAATATAATATAATTAACATTCTAGCATCTGTTTTTTGTAAATATATGTTACTTTGATTTTGTTGATTTACTTTGATATTAAACACAAAATTTTGTGATCAAACTTTGTCACTCTGTATAAAAAAAAAATATATAATAGTTGGTATCGAAAAAGAGTACTTTAACTATAAAGATGGAGCGTCTAACCACAATTTTACCATGCAAGGATTATAGTCGCAAGTACAAACACTTTTTTCTCAGTGCAATTTCTTTTCACTCGTCCCCCTTTTCTTTTCGGCACTCGACGGTAAACTTCCATCGACGACAATAAGGCAAACAAGTTTCACTTCCGAACCACCGCGAATGTCAACGATGAAGAGACCCGAGAAATGCAAAACTCGCATCTGTCCACGTTGAAGAATTATTTTTCCCTCTTCTTCTTTATATTATTATTAATTAATAAGAAATTATTACATTTTTATTTCTCACTATTATCTGTTATTTAAAAGCTCATATTTCCATTCGTGAACAAACGTTCGGGCAAATTAATTCGACTTTGCACTCTCAAGATTTCTTCATATTTTTTCGAATTCGCGAGGTAAAGAACGGAATAATACAAAGCTCCTTCTCTGATCCTTTAATAATTCTCAGATACAAATTGGGTCACGAATTTCCGTCATTGGACCGAACGAAATTAATAATGACGGCAGCTGTTCGGCATAAGACTTTAAAGAGCTCTCTTGCTCGGCGTATCGAGATTGATAGATTCCATCAATTTGGATGTCGATTTGTGGTTTTTCGAGCATCGCCTTAATAGCGTTACCGTTAAACGTGTTTGCGGGAATACGTTATTATGTACAAGAACACCGGAAAGGCAAGAATATTTCGACAATTTCTCACGACGTCACTCAAATCATACAATAATATCGGTGAGAATTTTAACGCTGCTTAAGTTTATTATCTCCACCTCGCACGAAGTTTCGCGGAGATCGTAACCACAGCATTGAATTACCTCGTACGTGAAATATATAGAGCGTATTTCGTCCAATTAAATTAATTATCTGTATCCGACTTACATACCATCGAATAAAATCGCGAGTCCACAATAACACGACGTCCATCATTTCTCGTTAATTTATCACTTTTATCCTCTCCAAATTTTTCCTGCAGCGAGCGTCGGAAGTCGTCACGGGGAAATGCACTGAGATTAACAGTTGTTGGTATTTGTGATTATAATTGCATGATAAATAATTACAGTTAAGAGTTCTATTTTTATAGTTCTTACTGCTCTAACATTCCCTGATAGAAATGCTTGCAGTTTTCCTGACATTCATCCAGTTGCTGTCTAGTATTTTATAGTATTTTCATTAGTCATAAAAGTATTGCATAGAAAATGGACAAGAACTTGATAAGAGTTTTATTTAGTGGTTAAAGCAGTTTTCCTGGTAAAAATATGTGCAATTTGCGTAAACACTTGCTCAGTTATTGTCTGGTATGAATAGATCATTATTAGTTAAAATACTGCGTAGTCTATTTATTGCCTTGTTTTTGTTCAGTAAATGGGTTAAAACTTTGCGCATCTTTTGTGAGCAGCAATTGTAAGCAAAACGTTACATCTTGATTGGGATCCTAAGTAGTTTTACTTAATTATTAAACGAATATAACTGTCCAGTAATTACTCAAAAAATGCATGAAATTTCTACCAGGGATTAATAATAATATAATTATACTTATAGTTCTATATACCAAAAAGAATATACGATTGTTCACGAAAACGACAATAAAACCATAATAGTTTTCAGGGAAAACGACCATAAAACTATAGTCGTTTTCGGGGAAAACAACTATATAAACCTACAGTCGTTTTTATTACCAACGTTATAGCAGTAATAACTATAAAAATGAAGCTTCTAATAATTACTTTGTAATACATTATAATCATAAATACAAAACAGTTTTTTTCAGTATATTCAAGTTAGTAAGTCATGGATTTTAACTTGTTTTTTTTAATTCGATGATCGTGCGACACGGGAAAGAACAGACATTCATCCGGATTCGATCGGCATCCCGAAACAGATGTCTCGATGGGGCCGATGATTAAATGAAGAACGGCTCCTTATCCAGCGCAATCGAATTAATTAATCGGCCCTCGCTTTTACATCGATCTAATCCGTTCCGGTGGATTGTTGAATAATGCGCGATTCTAATCGAAGTCGACGCGCGCTATTTCGATCCCTCGGCAGCGAACAGACGTGAATTTTGAATAAATTTCAGAAGAAGGCGCATCTCGATTACACGGCACTTCGAACCGAATCGGCGCTCTCCAGATTAATCGTCGCGACTTCCGATGGATTTTTAAACCGACCTCACCGCGATTGAATTTATAGACGTATCTATGGAGCCGGTTCGATATGCATTTCGTGTCCGCGATGTTCCGCTTCGACTAATATTTTTATTCATTCGGCTAATCAGAAAGACGTAGAGAGCAATTCGTTCGCTTCCGGAAGTGCACGCGTGTAGCGAATATAAAAATGATAGGTAGAAAGAAAATCTGTATGAGTCAACAATCAATGCATACAATTGGAAAGTTTATGTTAAATTCAAAACATTTCATTTTGTGCTACGGTCTACTCAAATTTTTGTGTTAATCGGTTAGGGAAATCAGGGAAAAGTCAGGGAATTTTGCAAAATTTTCTGAAAAACTAAAATTCTTGGCTTTAAAGAAGTTTAATATTTGTACATCACATCTACATTTACGCAATTTTGGAATACTACCAACTTAACAATTAAATACGAGCAATGTCAGCACTCAGCAATATTAATAGTAATTTACATTGTTATGTTAAATTGTCCGAATAAAATTTGACGGTTACTAAATCAAGAAAAAATACAAACAATTTTAAAATATTATTGAAAGCATCAGAGAAAATAATGAAATTTTGTATGGCAAATCAGGAAAAAGTTACGAAATTTCAGGAAAGAAATTTATGATAATCCTGTATATAGAAAGTAATGCAAATGGTGAATTCGGTCATTCGCACTATACTGGATTAAATACACATTAAAGATTGCTTTATATACAAAGTATTTAAATACAATAATAATGTAATATATAATAATTTGACAATAAAATAATTATACGTACATATTTTATTAGATAACGTAATAATATATTATTAAGTATTTAATCCTTTAAAGTAAATTTATATGCTTTTGCATTTAACTTTGCTAATTTCATGTATAGCAGCTTTCAGTACGTAATTTAGTATAATGCATGTAACCGAATTTGCTAAAATATTAAAAAATTTACGCAAAAACATAACATTGACACGACAACATTGTAAGCAAATCATGGAAATATATTTTTTCAATAAAATTGACATTTATGATATGTTAAAAATTGACACATGTTTTATTCATTTCTTAGAATTTACGTTTTAAAATACATTATTTTGGTGTTATTTGTTCACTTAATCATAAACTGTATTATTTCAACATTAATTGTAAAAAATGTTGAACATCAATTATACAAAATAACATAATCACATATTATATTAAATTTTTATAATATTCGAATTCGTTAAAAATTCAACACAAAATAGTAACAAGGACTCGAGTGGACCGGTTTTATCACAAATACAAATGTTTTTTACTGTGTAATTATCGTCGAATTTACACAATTAATAATTCACGCACCGTTATCTGTGTTGGCTCACACGGTCTTTCTTTCTAGCTTTTATGATTTTCGGAGCTCTATTTGTTATTAAATAAAAATAATCTTTCGTCAAAGAAAAATCACACGTTCGCAGTCTGTAATCAACAACAATACGCTGCGAATTATCCGTCGCAATAAAAATAACAATTGCGAAAATTCCGCCTTTTGACTTCTACTTGCCGAGTTCTGCGCTTGTATTTACGATTTCGGTAAAGGACAGAATCGACTGTGAGGATTCTCAAGGATTCCCAAGTTCGCAAGCACGAAAAGCTCGCGGCCGAAAGCCATCGCAGCTTTATCTTGCGAGGCGCAATGCGAATCAGTTTATATCTGGAGCGGCGCTATATATTATATTATTCAGCCGGGAAGGGTCGCGCGCCCAAGTTGAGCTCTCGCGAGAGCGACTAAGCTCTTCTTGCCGAAGGGCAAATTAAACGCGGCGAGTCGAACTCGCGATCGGTAAACTTTCGAGAAGCGACAATCCGCCGCAGCGCTCCGGACTTCGGGTTGATTGAACGCGAGATTCTGCGCCGGGAAACTCGAAAATTAAAAAAAAAGGGGGAACGAAATGAAAATGGAGGAGAGAGAGAGAGAGAGAGAAAGAGACGAAGGGAGAAAAGGGTGGAAAGGATCGATGCGTCGTCATCCTTGCGAGTCGTGAACGCGAAATAACGTCGCGGGAGTATCAATCGACGGAGGTAATCTCGCTACTTCGGCGGCTCATTGAAATCCCACGCTAAATTTCAATCTGACGTGTACAAAAGTCGGGCCCTTTCCCTCCCCTGTCGCCAACCGCCCCGCTTCCCCTCCCTCTCCCCCTCGACCCTCTTCACCCATCCCGATTCGACGGTTCGAGACTCCGTTATATCGCGGAGACGTATAAGGA